CCCCGCCCGGCTGTGGCGAGGCCAGACGCCTCTCCCCCCACCACACACACAGAGCTCCGGGACCTGCAGTGGGGCCAGACGCCTCTCCCCCTCCAGACCTCCGGGGGCTGTGGCAGGGCCAGATACCTCTTCTCTAGCCCCCCTACAGCACCAGGACTGCGGTGGGGCCAGACGCCTCTCCTCTAGCCCCCCTACAGCACCAGGGCTGCGGTGGGGCCAGACGCCTCTCCCCTACCCCTCTCCAGTCCCAGGGCCAGACGCCTCTCCCACACACACACAGCCCCGGGGCTGCGGCAGGACCAGACGCCTCTCCCCCACACACACAGCCCCGGCAGGGTCAGACACCTCTCCCCCAGCCCCGGGGCTGTGGTGGGTAGAGGGCCGGGGTGAGTCCTCTCTCCCCACCACAGCCCCAGCCAGCCTGCGTCCCAAACCCTCCACACCCAAACCCTCTGCCCAAGCCTTGAGCCCACTCCTGCACTCCGAACCCCTTGGCCCCACATCACATCCATATTGCTGCACATAACAAAATTCATTCCACACCTGGATGGGAAAAATTGGAGGGAACATTGGTCAGGACGCCTACAATTACACAAAACCTTGAAATTTCAGATTTAAATAGCTGAAATCATGAAATTTACCATTTTAAAAATCCTATGACCATGTAATTGACCAAAATGGACCATGAATTTGGTAGGGCCGTACTCATTGCATATCTTCATGTAGAGGTCTCTGTGCAGATTCAGTTGACTTCTTGACTCCTGTTGCAGTTATAAAAACTGTTTTATATAAAAACTTGTTTTATGAAGACTACTAGTCATTAGTTAAGAAAAAGTTTAACGATGTGATATTCTCTATCAAGTGTAGAACCAATGCATTATATTTGTTTTTTTCTTAGCCATAACTGTGTACCTTCAATGATATAAATAAATTATATAAAGTTATTGTTGAAGTACACTGACTGCAGAATACTTGTATGGAGATTTGATTTAACTCATTTCCTGCTGGCTGCTACCACAAAACCTTGAGTGCAGGGTTGGTTATTCTTTGAAATAGCAGTATTCTGTTTGAACAACCACAGTCCAGAGAGAACATACCATGACCATGTATAAGAGGGTTCATTGTATGTACATATTTGTGCAAGGGTTTTGTATGTGATGCAGCAAGTATTCTGTTACAAATACAGCAAAAATAATCTTTATAGCCATAATAGTTAACGAAAATGGCAGTTAAAGTGTACATTTTTAAAAAATCTGAAAGGGACAGATTCAGCTACAAAGACCTCAGAAAGTAGAGAAATTGAATTTAAAGAGCAGACACTGATGGCATAGAGCAGTGGTTTTCTAACTTTTTTTCTGGGGACCCAGTTGAAGAAAATTGTTGATGCCCACAACCCAACAGAGCTGGGGGATGAGGGGTTTGGGGTATGGGAGGGGCTCAAGGCTGGAGCAGAGGGTTGGGGTGTGGGGGTGAGGGCTGCAGGGTGGGGCCAGGAATGAGGGGTTCAGGGTGCGGGAGGGGACTCTGGGCTGGGGCAGGGGGTTGTGGTGTGGTAGGTCAGGGCTCTGGGCTGGGGGTGCACCGCTGGGGTGGGGCCAGTGATGAGGGGTGGTGGAGGAGGGACTCGTGGGTTTGGGGGGGGCTCAGGACTGGGGCAGGGGTGTGGAAGGGGGTCAGGGATCTGGGCTGGGGGTGCAGGCTCTGGGGTAGGGCCAGGAAGAGGGGTTTGGGGTGCAGGAAGGGGTTCCGGGTTTGGGGGGGCTCAGGGATGGGGCAGGGGATTGGGGCACGGACTTACTTCCAGCATCTCCTGGTCAGCAGTGCAACTGACGTGCAGAGGCAGGCCTGTCCTGGCACCGCGGACTGCGCTGCGCCCCAGAACCAGCCAGCAGCAAGTCCTGCTCCTAGGCGAAGGTACACAAGCAACTCCGCGCGGCTCTCGCCCACAGGCACCGACCCTCTCCCCCCCACACAGTGCTTGGGGCAGGGGCAGGGCACAGAGCCCCGTGGCCCCCCTGCCTAGAAACCGGACCTGCTGCTGGCTGCTTCCGGGGCGCAGTGCTGAGTCAGAACAGAGAGGCACTAGCCTGCCTTAGCTGGGCAGTACTGCTGATGGGACTTTTAACGTCCTGGTCCCTGGGTGCTGAACAAGGCGACCCAGTGCCTTACATGCCATGACCCAGTACTGGGTCAGGACCCGAACTTTGAAAAACACTGGCATAGAACCATCAGGTCTATACGCAGGAGATTCATTAGTAACCTAAATAGTGTATTAGGTCCCACCCTGCAAAAAGACACTCATACATACATGTGTAACTTCATTGGAGCTATTTACATGTATAGAATTAAGTGCATGCATGTTTGCAGCATTGGAACCTTAGCTATTACGTCAAGTCTGAAACAGGGTCAGCCATCTTCTGAGCACCCCATCCATGGCCACAGGTAGCGCTACAGCATCCTGCCTCTTGTTTTCTGTCTTCAGGGCCCCTTAAAAACGTCACACTCTTTCTCATGGCTAATATCACCCTTGCCTGGGGCTGGTTTAATAACAGAAACAGTTCAAAATTATCTCCAGGGTCCCCAAATAAAGTCCAATATTGCAAGACAAAAGTTCATACTCAGCTCTGGCATCTTCTACCACACCCAGAGCTCTTCTTCTGTCCCAGTCTGCTCTTCATGAATCTGTCACTTCCAGCCTTTCCTAGCTGGGGTTCAACCTTCTGCTCTGACTTATAGTCCCAGACTCTTCTCCCAGTCAGGGACTCCTTTGCCACACCTTTCTTTTCGATGCTGAAGTAGACTTGGCTGAGTAGTCTATGATACCAACTATAACTCCTCACTATGTAGCAGTTTATATCCTCTCACTCTGCCCTAGGTCTTTCA